TTTTAGCTAGTTTATTTGGTTGTTCTTTTGCTCAAAAATCCTCTAAAAAGGGTTGCCATTTCGTGGTTATTAACCCCTCTCTCCCTTGGTATTGCATTTGGTGCTAGATTAAAGGCTCTTAGTTGGTTCTTCTTTGAATGTATATTTGCAGTGGCGGATATAGTAAGGAGCAGACAGGTGCTTCACCCCCTAACTTGCCCAATAGAGTTTACATATATGGAGAAAATAAAATCAAGAACTGATTTACTTCCACACATAAATGAAATAAAACAGGAAAAAAATGATAACTATAACTAGTATTTATGTGGAATTGTATTTTGACTTTGGATAGGAATATTGAAATTTCTGAAAAATCTAAAAGTATTCAAAACGGGTTTAAAACCTTCAAACCTAAAATCATTAAAAAAACAAACAACTTTGTGAGATACGTCAATGTCGCACCCCTTCCTCTCCGTCGTCACTACCTATTCTCCGATTTCACCCAATTTTTTGTTTGGCAACCTTTTGCTGACTCGTTAAGTGCATGAGATAAAGTTGTCACAGAGTCGGCTATGCCTCTTGCCTCCGTCTGTCCTCCTATGGATCAAGCTTTCTCGATGTCGCTCCTCGTGCGCACTCCCCGGTCGCCGGTGGCCTCTACAACTCTTCCCCTTAGTGTGTATTTTTAAAGTTTCAGGCTTATGTTTCTTGTGAGTATTTACTTTCAATTTTCTCTCTCTCCGAAATAAATATATAGTGATTTTTAAGATTTATTATAGATGCTTTTTAGATATCTAGTTAGTAGAAGCTCTCAAACACTCTAAAACGTTCTGTACCGAACATTCACTTATGTTTTTTGTTTTTTACTATTTAATATACTTTTTTTTTTTACTTTTATCTATATCTCATTGTGTAGGTTAGTTTTTTACTATTTAATATACTTTTTTTTTTTTTTTACTTTTATCTATATCTCATTGTGTAGGTTATTTTATTGGCTTTACATTCACATTCACATTGAATGACGCATTATTAATTCTATTTTAACTTTATTGATTTTTTAAGGTATTATTAGCTTAGGATAAGTGGAGAACCATTAATTTCAAGTGAGAAACTATATATATATATATATATATATATATATATATATATATATATATATATATATATTTAATTTAGAACCTTTAATATATGTATATAATATATGTATCTGAAGATATGAACAAACACTAGTTAATTACATGTGCGTGCGTGTGTGTGAATATTCTAGTCGTCAATACTTTAATAGGAACAAAGTAGCTTAGTTTTAATGGAAGTTGTGATATATATATATATATATATATATATATATATATATATATATATATATATATATATATATATATATATATATATATATATAAGAGTAGGATCAAATGAGAACACCTAAAAGGTTGAGAACGCGAGAATATATCTGGACCATCTATATATTCAAATCTAAGGTTATTATTAGACGGACTAATTTTGTAAATTTTAAAAGTAATGGTATCATAGTGTAACTTTTAAAAAGTCAAATGGGTATGATGGTAATTGCAACTTTAGTCTATTCCTATAATTTCTCAGCCTCTCTCATATTTCCTTTAAAAATTCTCGTCCACGTCTTCGTCTTTCTTTCTCTCCATACCTAGGGTTAAGTCAATAAAGAACCGCCTCCATCACTTGTGCCTTCTTCTCGGTCCAACATCTCCGATTTCAACAAAAACGGCGGACTACCACTGCCATCGTCATCGTTCTAAAGCACAACCACTACCACTACTGACCACCTTCGAACAACCAACGCCATCCAAGCACTGCCATTCATGTTCGTCAAACCATTCGTCTACCTTCTCTGCCACCCAAACAGATATTCAGAACCATCATTGACATCCCATTTATTGTGTTTCTTTTGACTATATTTTCTACTACCGCCTCTATTCATCTTCTTCTTATTTTGTTTTATGAAATTATGGTTTCGGTAACCACTGAATGTGTGCTACTAAGGATTTTCTCTATGGATTATATGTTAATGAGGTTAATGAAGAATTTAGGATTTTGCTAACCTACAGGTACCGCCGCCTCTGTTCATCATCTTCTTATTTTTGTTTTATGAAATTATGGTTTCGGTAACAATTGAATGTTGGCTACTAAGGATTTTCTGTATGGATTTTATGGCAATGAGGTTAATGAAGAATTTAGGGTTTTTCTAACCTACAGGTACCTATTTTTCTTAATTCTTATAATGTTTTTAGATTTTATTATTTTTGTGATATGTAGAGTAAAATACAAGTCATATCTTTTAAACATCTTAATTTGAGGTTCTAATAGGATCACCTGCTAGGTTTAAATGATTATTATTGATCAATTCTCGTTTATTGAGTCTATAATATAGCTTAATATACTAAAACCAATTATTATAAAAGCTCTAAATTACAATTTTGAATTAATTTAAAGAAAATGGTATGGACATTCTGGTCTTCAATTTTCATTTAAGGTTTTTGAATCATTGTTTTAATATATTTGAATCTAGTTTTATTCATTTATGAATGTGACTATGTGAATATATCAATAAATATTCAATTGTTATCTTATATGAATACAATGTCATATGTCTCATTTGCATTTGAGTTAATCATCAATGAATACTCCATGATTTTATACCTGAATGGTTTATGTTTTGAACAGGTGTAATTTGGAGTTTGATGTTTGGAATAAGGATAACCGTAAAGCATGGAAATCGATAACATAATCAAGGACGCCCCTCTTCGTTTCTATATGTATGGTAGCAACAAGAAAATTGGAAGAAAAAACAATGATGTAGGAATTCATTTATGATTCACTTATCTTCATTTATGAATATAACTGTTGAAAATATATGAATTTAGATGTATTTTGTATTTGTGAATATGTATTCATGTATGGTCAGAATTTTATTCATTTATGATTGTAATCAGAGGTGTATTTACTCATAATGAAATGTTGAATTCTTAAACATCTTTCAATATAAATTCACGAACAAAAACAAAAGAAAAATCCAATCGTGACATTTTCATTTATGAATATGACACTATTTAATAAAATTAAATCATAAAATTAGTAACTTGTATATTTTTAGTCAATTGTATACTCAATATAAATTTGCTTGATATTCATTTATGGATATGAATCACGTAAAGCAAGATAAAATCATTTGAAATTGATAAAATATATTTTTTTAATCTTTCATTAAAGATATAACGAAAATTAAAAAAAAATCATTTTTAGTAACAGTCAATTAGAATCCCAAAAATTTAGGAAAATATCATTTTATTGTATTTTTTATAATTTAATTAAAATACAAATTTACTTGCATGCCCTTATATAATGATTAGTTCAAAACTGTTCTCGCGTTCTCAACCTTTTAGGTATTCTCATTTGATCATTTCCCTATATATATATATATATATATATATATATATATATATATATATATATATATATATATATATATATATATATATATATATATATATATATATATATCAAGGTTTTAAATAACGTAAAGCGTAACTTGGCGGCAATGTCAAGCCTCAAACTTTTCCGAGCCTTGGCGAGTCACGATATTTGTAAGGCGTGAGTTAAGACGGCAATTTTCTATATAATTAATATTTATATATGTATTTTCAACTATTATTCATTTTTATACACATGTATGAGTTAAGACGGCGTTTTGGTAAAGCTTGATACCAGGTGCAAGTCTTGAAGTCGTGGCGCGCCATGACGGTGCCATGACGAGCTTTTTAGAACCTTGATATATATTAGTAGTATACACCTTAATTGTTAAGACATAAGCCTCCTTTAATATAAAATCCTGGCTCTCCTTGTATATTTGGTGGTTGATTATTGTTTGGTGGATATACTATAGAGAGTGTTTTCTTTGGAGTTTAATATCATATTCATCAAGTTTCTAATTGTCAAAAAGAACTAAAATCTGTTGTAAGCTTCTTCCTTTCTATGGTTGTTTTTAATATTCCTAAGTTTTGCAAGATGATTATTGATGGGTAAAACGATTTTAATTTATTCAAATCTAAAATTGTTTTTGTTGTTATTCACGTCAAGTTGGACTCTATAATTATACTATTTTTTAAATAAAACCTAACATAAAATTATATGAAATCTAAAAGCCAAAAGTTCTTCAAAACTAAATTACTTAAAGTAGTTTTTTGAATGTAAAAAAAAAAAAAAAAAAAAAAAAAAAAAAAAAAAAAACTCTTTAATTCAAGATTATATTAAAAGTTAAAAGCTTATTGCCAAAAAAAAATTGAGTATACCTGACAAAACTAACTGTTGCTAGAATCTTGTAGCTGGAAGCCTATAAAATAGCTTTTTATTTGTGTAGAAAACGGCTTCTGAATTACATGTCTTTTTTTTTAGAATTAAATCGTAAGATACTAATTAAAATCTTGCGACGGTTTTCCAAACATCCATGAAGTTAAGACTCAAATCAGGAAAAATATAAACCAAAAAAAAACTAACTATATCGTCGCTTAATCAGATTATTGTTAAATGTTCACCAATGAAATCTTTTCGTACTCATAGTTGAATAACGTTATTTTAAAAATGAACTGAATTGATATAATATTGTCGAGTTTTGAACGGTCAACACACAAAAGAAAAACGTTGCTGACTATTCCTGTAAGTCGAGCATAAGTTAAAGGACTAATAATGCAATATATTAATCTCATTTCACCGAAAAAGGTATTAGTCAAACTTGCCACCTAGTATATAAATAAAAGGTATGCTTACTTGAATAAAGACTTACACGTGTCATTTTATTATAGGCCAGACGCCACTTTCTTAGGTAACACCGTAACAGCATGTTTCGTTTGCATAACCCCGCCCTTTATTCATTCTGCTACCCAACAGTTTTTTCACGCTTAAAATTCGTCGTCTCATTCACTCTCTCTCACAAAATTTCCGGTTATATTCCCGATGAAAAACATCACCGCCGGCGACCCTCACAACCTTAGATGACGAAAATCTTGAACGCCGTCATTTTTGTTGCGGCACTTTTATCATCCGTCACCTCATTAGTCAATGCGCTCGGTGGTTCCGCTACCACCGTCTCTGTAACCTACGGCGGCGCGACTCCCACCGTCTGTGGCATCGTCGCTGGTCAACCGAGTCAACGAATTCAATGCTGGCGTAACGGGACGGTCTTCAACGCCTTCTATAACATCTCTTTCGAGTCCATCGCCGGCGGTCGTGATGTATTCTGCGGCGTAAGGTCCGGCGGATCCACACTCGTCTGTTGGGACTCTAGCTTAATTCCAAAACGTATTTACTACAATGAAACAGTACTCTTACGGAATTTAGCCATAGGCGACGCACAAATATGTGCAATTACGAATAGTAGTGATCAAAACGTTGATTGTTGGAGGAGCAACGCAGCGATTCCTTCTCAAAATCATCAGTTCCGCTCGATTTCGTCGGGATTAGGGTTCACCTGCGGTGTCGCAAACACCAGCGAGATAATCTGTTTTGGGAGCAATTCAGCGTCGGCGAGTAATATTCAAGGTAACTTTACGAATTTTCGCCTGTTAACTATCGCCGTCGGCGGTGACCACGCCTGTGGAGTAAACACTACTGGCTTTTTGATTTGTAGAGGTAATAACGATTACAATCAGACTAATGTACCAGATCATTCACCATTTGAGTTTTCTTCCCTGGCACTTGGTGCGAATCATACTTGCGCGTTGCGAAGATTAGATAATTCTGTAGTTTGTTGGGGTGGAAGAGGAGGGGCTTTGGATAATGATACAGCTAGGGTTTCGTTCGAAACGATTGTTGCTGGATTAGATTTTACCTGTGGGTTAACAACTAACAATTTCTCTGTAATTTGTTGGGGAGAAGGATGGGTTAGAAGTAATTCGAATCCCCTAGGTTTTGAGCTTCCATTGAAAGGAATTCTTCCAGGTCCTTGTGTTCAATCTGATAGTTGTGACTGTGGCATATATCCCCAATCGGAACAACTTTGTTCTGGTTATGGATCCATATGTAGGCCGTGTGATATAGCCACTTTGGCTCCACGGCTTCCGCCACCACCACCACCAACACCACCGTCTCTACCTACTAATCCGCCAAGGTCTCCACGCTCAAAACGGTTGACAAGAGGTTTATTGGCATTTGCCATAGTTGGATCAGTAGGAGCTGTCGCAGGCATCTGCACCATAATTTACTGTGTATGGACTGGTGTTTGTTTCGGCAACAAGAAGATTCACAACTCTGTACAACCGACAATCACCAACACTAATCCCTATGCGCCTCGACCTTCAGCTAACAATCCAATCTCAAGATCATCAACTATCCGGCGACAATTCTCCAGAGGTTTCCGGCGACAAAGAAGCGGGACATCTTCTAAACAAGCAACAGACAAAGAAGAAGAATTCACATTCGCTGATCTTGCTCTCGCCACAAACAACTTCGCCCTTGAGAACAAAATCGGTGCAGGGAGTTTTGGCATCGTGTACAGAGGCAAACTCTTAGATGGGCGTGAAGTCGCCATTAAAAGAGGTGAAACAAGCGATAAAATAAAGAAATTTCAAGAGAAAGAAAGCGCATTCGATTCAGAATTAGTCTTCTTATCTAGACTTCATCACAAACACTTGGTGAAACTCGTTGGGTATTGCCAAGAAAGAGAAGAAAGACTTTTAGTTTATGATTTCATGAAAAACGGAGCTCTTTATGATCATTTACACGACAAGAACAACGTCGAGAAGAGTAACAGCTTGTTGAATTCATGGAAAATGAGAATCAGAATCGCTTTAGATGCTGCCAGAGGTATCGAATACCTTCATAATTACGCAGTTCCTCCGATAATCCACAGAGACATCAAATCATCCAATATTTTGCTGGATTCAAATTGGGTCGCTAGGGTTTCTGATTTCGGGTTATCTCTAATGGGCCCGGTTTCCGATCGCGAGTACAGACCGACAAAAGCCGCCGGAACCGTCGGCTACATCGATCCAGAATATTACGGACTCAACGTGCTGACGGCGAAGAGTGACGTGTACGGTCTCGGCGTTGTACTGTTGGAGCTTTTGACTGGCCGGAGAGCAATTTTCAAAAGCAGTGAAGTTAACGGTGGTGCGCCGATAAGCTTGGTGGATTATGCTGTGCCTATAATTATGGCCGGAGAACTTGCGAAGATATTGGATAAAAGGGTGGGGCCGCCGGAGGTAATGAGGCGGAGGCGGTGGAGCTGATGGCGTATACTGCTATACACTGTGTGAATGCGGAGGGGAGTTACAGACCGAGTATGACTGATATTGTCGGGAATTTGGAGAGAGCTTTGGGATTATGCAGTGACAGCCATGGCAGCATCTCTAGTGGTTCCGATTGATTTTTTTTTTTTTTTTAATTTTTTTTTGGTTTTATTTTAATTTTTTATGGGTTTTTTATTTTTTGAATATTTGGGAGGGTGATTTACCTTACCTGGGTATATTTGTAAAAAAAAAAACTGTAGATTATTTTGGATGCAATTGCTATTCTTTTAACGATTCGAGTATTCTGTTCACCGGCGGCGGCGGCGGCGGTGGTCGTGGCTGATAGGGTTTATAGTTCCTTCCAATTTGACCGTGACCGGTTCTTTACGAAAAAATCAAAAAAGAAGTCTAGAAGTAGATGTCACGTGGATGTGGAAGTTTTGACGGGAACCAATTCTTCGTTTTCGCATTAATTATTTTGCTTTATTTGTATACCGAATCATGTCATTATCATAATTACGAAGGGGATTAATTATAGAAATAACAAAATTGTGGACCTATTTATAAAATTGAGCAGACGGTTGGCTAATAATATCAATAAATATGACACTATCATAGAGTTCACATTTCAACAAGGCACCACCAATTTATTCACTTTCTTTATTGGGAAAATGACTCATTGACTTGGATACTTTTTCTTTATTGGGATTTTTATATATTTGAAATGTACATGTTTAATCATTATTTTTTTTATTTTTATAAAATAAATCTTTATATTTTATTTTTTGTAACAATGCAATCCTTGTGACCGGTTATACCCGACATACCGGTCATATACGAATTTTTTTTAGGAAAAATGATTTGATAGGGTAAGATACTTTTTGAATTGTATACATTTAGTCCTCCTTTTTTTTTTTTTTTTAAATAAACCCTTATACTTTATTAATATGTACACATTAGGTTATTTTCACCGGATTCTACAGGTTTTGTTGATGTGGAAGCACAAGTGACACTAAATAGCAATTAATTAGGTTAGTCACCGGAGGTGGGTGATCCTCCAGCAACAAGAAAAGGGCGGCGACCCTTCTCTTTCCCAGTCTCTTTTCCTTCCAGTCGAACAGCAATAGCCAAATACCCTTTATCTGTTGTGTTTCTCCGATCTGTCTCTCTTTGCCTCCATATTTGAGATATTTTGCCAGAAAAAAGAAGAAAGAATTGATGAGGGAGCTACCAGAACAGCTCATCGCCGCCAACTACCGTCTCCACTTCATCCTGCCTCCCTCTTCAACCTTGTTGTTTTTGCCATCATTCCTCCCTTGCTACCAGTGATGTGTAGGAACACACAAAGGAGTCGCCGGAGATCAAGGTTCTCCCTCTTCTTCATTATGAATAAAAGTTGGAAAAATCTAGTTGTGGATATATAGATAACACATGGGTATTTCATTTCAACAAAATAAAATAAAGGGAAAATGACTTGATAGGGTAAGATACTTTTTGAAATGTACACATTTAGTCCTTATTTATTATTATTATTTTTTTGTAAAATAAACTCTTCCACGTTAGCAAAACCTGTAGAATCCGGTAAAAATGATCTAATGTGTACATATTAATAAAGTATAAGAGTTTATTTTACAAAAAAAAAAAAAAAAAAAAAAAAAAAAAAAGAATAAGGACTAAATATGTACATTTCAAAAAATATTTTACCTTATCAAGTCATTATTCCCTCTTTATTATTGCAACAATCAACTCCCTCCCATACAACCCTCACCTTCACTACTCCTTTGTTAAAATCCATCACATATCACCCATCCCCTCATCATTAAGATTTTGCTCTTCACTTAACGGAATATGGTACTTTGTATTCGGTTAATGTACTCCTTGAGAAATTCATCAATAAGATGTCTTTAGGTCTTTAAATGCATCTTTTCTAGAAATAAGTCAAATAGGATGATGTGAGTACTTGAGTAGAGTAGACACTGAGGTTATGTGAGATGACATAAGGGGAGTAGAGGGGTGACAGTGATGGTGATGGTAGGGTGTTAATTGAATAAAAAAAAGTTTGACATAGGACATTAGATGTCGGATTGATACCCTTCTTCCACAATTGAGGGTTAAGAGGGTGTTCGTATTATTTTTTAAAATGATTTTTTAAACTTTTAGCTTTTTCAAAAGTTAAAAGCTTGAAAATGTGTTTGTTAATTCTAAAAGCCTTTTTAGAATGATTTTTTGGTAAGAAGAAAAATGAATGATTTTAAAAGCCATAAATTATGATTTTTGGTTTTTTAACCTTTGCTCCTTCAAAATATAATCCAAACACATTGTAAAACATTCTTTTACAAAAAGCTATAAGACAAAAAATCCTTTTATTGAAAATGACTTTTTAGGTAAGCAATCCAAACACCCCATTCCTGTTTGAACCAAAATATGTAGTTTTTTTTTAATAGAGTACGATGTGTGTGAGAACTCATCTTGATCATATTTGTTTCCACCTTACCCGAATTAACCCTTTTGTGAACCACGAATATCAAAATGCTTATTATTTCTAGAATTATTCTATATATTTGTTTCCACCTTACCCGAATTATCCCTTTTGTGAACCACGAATATCAAAATGCTTATTATTTCTAGAATTATTCTATTGAAAATAGATTGTGAAAATAATACTACTTGATGCTAACAAAAGGGTCTTTGGTAACAGTATCAGAAATTGATGGATATAAGCCCTAAACAAAGGTTGGGGTTCAAATCATGTAGCGGACGAAAGATATAGATTTATGAATAGTATAATGGGTGCCGGTGTAAAAAATAATAATATCTTGATGCTATTATCTAAAAATAAATTAAAATGTTATATAAATTAACTTCTTCAAAATCGCCGGTTATTGTACCTTTAAGCCTTCAACTCTTTACCAAAGGGCTTCTAGCCCAGCGGTACCCGATATTGTCCTCCCTTCTTGAGGTTGAGAGTTCAAATCTTGTCGTGGACATAAGTGGATTTAAGGTGTAGTTTAGGAGTAGGTTAGATTTACCGTTCAAAAAAAAAAAAAAAAAAATAGTCATAACAATTATTTAGGGATGTTCAAAATATACAAAAACCTGAAAGTCGAACCTAAAATCTGAAAATACGTGCCGATTTTAAGTTTAACAAAATTAATTTTTTTGACATTTTTAGATTTGGTTAACCTAACTGCTAAAATCTTTGATTTTTTGGTTCGGTTACGGTTTATGTCTTTTTGTTACAGACGGTTAACCAAATAACTGAAATGTTATATTGTTATTATTAGTTTATTACTATTTAAGAGAGTCAAATATCATATTACTACTAATATAGTGTGTGCAAACTGCAATAGAATTGAACTATACAATAAGAAAATATCACGATCTTTAGCGTATCAAACTTTTAGTATTAAATAAGGCAATAATTCAAATTATATATCCATCCAAAATTATGATTATACGACAACCATAAAAATTAAATATTGATTGAAGATATTCTTTTCTAGCCATTTTTAATGATGTTTGTTTTAACTTCAAACTTTTCATTTTCCTTTCTCAACTATTTTTGAATGATTATCCTTATATTCAAATTTAATTATGAAGCTTTTTAGCTTCAGAACACATTTACTAACTTTTAGACGGATTATAGGTTTAGAGACGAGAGCGGTGTCGTTATTGGCCAAAACCTCACCACTAACCGTAAATGCGGTTAATCCATTTTCAAAACGGCTTGGTGCGGTTAGACGGTTATTTTTGTGGTGTGTTTTTTTTTTCCGGTTATTAACCGCATGGATTTGGTGCGGTTATTTGTGTGAGTTTTAACCGCTATTTAAAGTTCAAACGATTTTAAGAGTTCAAAAATATTATTTGTAATAAAAAAAATATATAAGTTAGTTAACTTAAATCACAAACAATTAATATTTTAAAAACGTGAAATCACTAGTAATTAACAACAAATATCTTAAAATTGTGAAATTTCATTATTTTTTAATGTTAAACATAACAAAAAACCAACATTTTTATCTTCTAGAATTTTATCATGCTTTTATCCATGAAATTTGTCTTATTTTTAATATTTAATATATTAATAATTAATAAAAAATTGTATATAATATATGCATTGCGGTGCAGTTTTTTTTTTTTTTTTTTTTTGCGGGTTTTGAAAAATAATAACCGCATTGCACCGTAAATTTGCGATTTTTGAAAAACATAAAACCTCATCATTAGTTTTTATTGCGGTTGTGGTTTATCGGATGCAGTTAATTTTAATTGCGGTGCGGTTTTTGTTCACCCTAATAGGTTAACCTGATAACCTTACCGGAAAACAGCTTAACTGAAAATCAGTTTGCTGAGTTTTTCGGTTTAGGTTTAAGTTCAAAAAATTAATAAACCAATTGTTTCGGTTAACCTTCCGAAATATGATTTTAGTTCGGTTCATCATATAGCTTGAAATCTATATCAAATTTATTTTATAATTTAATTACAAAATCATATATAAAAATCGAAATAATAGTAACCGGAGAATCTTCAAAATTAATTACACTTGCTTGGATACAATCTAACATTTAATTAAGTAATGTGTGTCGCGTGAGAATATATAGAATTCATGAAAAAGTAAAACAAAATATTTGGTTGTTACACTTTTATCATTTTACGTCTTATTATATAATTATTTTGAAGAATAATTTCAGATCTATCAACCGAAGCTAAAAATGAAGAAGATTCGAACATTTGAAAATATAATATTTTTTTAAGGGATTTTCTAATATGTACCCTAGGGGCATATATAAGAAGTATTAATTAATGATAAATATTATCATAATTAAATTTAAAATACATTTATTATGGAGATTATTAATGCATGTCACATTTAATTAAGGTAATATTCCTTATAATTAATGCATTTTATATTTAATTATAGTAATATTTATCATTAATTAATACCTTTTATATGTGCCCTTAGGGCACATATTAGAAAATCCCTTTTTTTAATCAGGGTAAAC